CTGTGCCAGGGTGTTCAGCCCTGGTTACTGGTTAAGGGCTCTCAGGATTCCCAGTAATTCCCAATAAATGAGCCTTCAGGAAGGTGAATTCAGCCCCTGCAACGCTGTCCCTCTCCTTTGTGACACCCTCTGCACATCCCACTGATATCCAGGGCAAGGAAAAAGGAATTCACTTCATCCATGTGCTGTTGGTTTTTAAACCAAATTTCTCTGGTTAATGAATTGTGGGATGATGAGGGCAGGGAGCAATGGAGCAGCCAGCTGTGTGTGAGTATTTTAATGGGATTTTTCCAGCCTTTAGGATGTGTGTGTGGTTTTTTTTTTTCCATGATTCCTCTCAGTTGATATTTGTAAAACAGGACAGAATTATTTTAATGGTATTTTATGACTTAGAGCTTCAAAAGACTAATTTTCAGCATATTGCAAATTCAAGAGGCTTAATTTTATCTAGAGTTTAGTAGCTTTACTCAGCCCAACAAAGTCTGGAATCTCTCAGTTGCCTTTTTATCATTCCTGTATTATTTACTTATGACCTTTATTATTCTGCTGTAATTTATTTTTTAATAAGGAGGTTCCAAAGTCATTCAGGGCTGTAAAACCAAGATAGTGGCACATCCTTCCCTTTACTTCTCTCCTCCCAGTAATTTTAATATTCTTGGTGTTCTTGCTTAGAGAAAATAAGCTGATGAAAATTCTTGGGTGAATTTTACTGCTATATTTTAGAGGGAAGAGAGGAATAGGTTTGATTTTGGCAGTTCTTGGTGGGATTTTTGTATTCCAGAATATGCAGCCTGCCTTTGACTTGGCAAGCACCTGTTACCCCCTGAGATGTTTGGTTGAAATGAGTGTGTTCACATCCCAAAACACTCACAAAACACATTTTGGGAAGCTGTGCCTGTAAGAGCAAATACAAAATGAAATCTGTTCTGTGTTATGTGGAACATAAATATCCAAGCAGGAAATTTTGCTGGGAAAGAAAATGAATATTAGAGGTGTAAATCATCATGTGCCTCTGGAAAAAGAATCAATAATTGGAATTATCTATTCTCTTTCAATTATATTTGAGTTGAATGGAAGCTTTCATTATCTAGCTGTGGTTTCTCAGTTGATTCTGCTGCAATGGTGATTTGCAGGGGGAGGAGGCTGGGGCTCAGTTTTGATGCTCCTGCTTTGCCTCTCTAATTAGTGGGTTCATTAAGAACCCGAGTAGCTGGAGCAGCTCCAAATCTGAGCCAGTTAAGAGAAATTTTCCTGGCAAATCCCTCCATGAGGAAAGTGGGAGCAGTGAGTAAGCCCAGGCTGGGCACTCAGCAGCCCTGCAGGAGTTAAAAATCAAATTGAGCACCGTGGCTTGCAGGAACCCCTCACAGTCTGCAGGAGGCTGCAGATGTCAGGGGTGATGTAGAGCCCCCCAAAGGGACACAAAAACACCTCTGTGATGGGGACATAACTGGGGGCAGTGATTGATGGGTTCCAATATAGCAGGAGCTGCACAGGATTGAAAATTTCCCAGGTCAGGAGTGCACCCGAGATTTTATTGGCAGCCTCCGGGCGTCTTCTGGAATGTGCAACAAAATAAAAACCTCTGAACCTGCTTTGACACCGTGGAGGTTCAGTGGGTGCCAGGCAGCCCAGAGAGTCTCATTTAAATGTAAATATCTCACAAACTTCAGCAGCAGATCCTGTTTAAATGTATAAAATGCCAGGGAGAGCATTCCAGGATTGACACTCACAGTGAAACTTTAAAGAAGATTATGAAAAATAATCCGGGGTGTTTTTTTTTTTTTTT